GGCAGGAGCTGCCCCCTCCCCTGTCACGCTGGCCACTCCGCAAGGTGACCAGGGTCCGGCCCCAAGGGAAGGCTGCGGAAGGGCCAGGCTCTGGCTATTGGATCACATCGTGCAAGAGCCCAAGTCCCTCCTTGTACGAAAACTACACCCGGAAAAGAAACTCTTGGTCACATTTCTGTCCCCGCCACGTCGAAGGGCAGTGAGGCCATGGATCTGCCGAGGGTCGCCCCCTCGAAAAGCCTCACGAAGGTTCGGTAGCAAGGAGGACTCGCGGCTGTGTTGAGCCCCACTCCTCTCCAGCAGCCCTTGCTGCGGATGGGTGCCAGTGCTGCTCGGGGGAAAAATGAAGAGAAATCAGGTCTGCAAGAGGCTCCCAGAGTGCGGCGTCTTCCTTGCCCCGTCGAAACAAGGCTGATTTGCAAAGTAACCCTACGGATCTGCTGTGTCTTCCGTCCCACAGTTTCCAGACTGATTAATACAGACTCAGAAAAAGTGTATCAGCGTGCTGAAGTGCTCTTCTTTTAATGATCACATGCTGAAAAAAAAAGCCGAAAAATCAACCTAAACTCCCAAACCCCCACCAACCGAAAAATGACAACGGAAGAAACTCGGAGAATTTTTTTTTTTTAAGCACAAAACGAAAAAACCATAACCAAATCAAAATTTTTGAATTCTTCTGTGTTTGACTCCTTTAATTTGGGTCACCGTGGTGAGAAAGAAGTGGGTTTTGGTGTGATAATTTTTTTTTTTTAATCCTTTCCCTGGAGCCCTTCTTGTTGAACGGGAGCTGAGCCGGGGAAGCGCCGAGCCGGGCTCGGTGGCGGTCGGGAGCCGGTCCCGACCATCTTTCTCCGAGGACACCAGGGCCGACCCGCACCGCTGAACAGACCCGCGTAGGCAAACGAAGATAGCGGAGGCGAATCCGTGGGGTCCGTCGCCGTATTCCTCTCCATCCGTGCCGCTCCTTTACCCCTTTTCCCGCGCACGGCAGTGGGATTGCCACCGTGGTTCCTCCTCCCGGGGCCTCTGCTTCTCTGGGGCCCGGGCAGACACAGTCCTGTCTCTTCCTCTCCTCGACGGGGCGAAAAACAGCGCCCGACGCCTTCGCAATGCTGCAGATCCCGAGGCTGCCCACGACTAGCGAGGAAAGGCTGCCCATGGAGGCGAGCACACACACGGCGAGATACACGCAACGGCGTTCGATGCTTCCACGCGAGTTGGCACACGGGTTTCCCGCACAGAGTGAAGATTCCGTTTTCCACCCGCAGCGGACATCGACTGATCCCTGTCAGAAGCCAGTGACAGGGAGGCTGGTCACGGCCATCGCAGCCACCCCGGCGACCCGCCCTCCCCAGGTGCCCTGACAGACGAGGGGCATGATGCAAGGTCTCACCCGTGTCCTCCCCCACGGGATTCCCTGAAACGTGAGGAGCTGCCCCAGGCCTGGAGCGGGCTCTCATCTCCGTGCGGTGCTTGGCTTCACCTTAGGTGTATGAAACTGAGGGGTGAGGGTCAGCTGGGGACGGTCAGGGCGGGCGAGAGTTGAAAGGGAAATTCAGGGGCTTATCAGCAGAGTATGGTGACTGGGAGAAATGAGAGAGAAGAGAAAGATGGGTACAAACAGACAGAAAGAGAAGAAAAGAGGGGAGAGAATGAGGTGGGGAAGAGAAAAGGAAAGGGGAAAGTGGGGGAAGGAAGNCGGGAAGGGCAGCGCTGTCGGGGCAAAGCCATTTGGGAAAAGGTCACCCCGGGAGCCGCCGGCTGGGCCGCCCCGCCAGAGTATGGCCTGCTGAATGAACTTGCAGCATTTTGTTCCAGCCTCCGCTGCGATGCTCTGCGGCATAATGAGCCGGGCCCTGTATACAGGCATTCATGCTGGTCTGAATGTGGTGTTGAACCTTCTCTGTGCCGGAGCGGTTTGATGGTTTGAATGGAGCTCCCTGGTGGGACATTGCTCTCTGCAACTGTGCCTCTTTGGATGACTGTTGTTCCTTAACATTCATGCCTCATTATGGGGCAACCTGTTAAATCAGGGAGAACAGTGTGCCAAAGTGTTACTCAGGGGCAGCGGCAGTTCAGCGGTGGGCATAAATAAGGGCCGCCGAGGAAAATAACTTTCATCGCATCTCTGGGCAAAAGTGATCTCTCTTTAATGGTGCCTCTAGTAGCCCGGTTTAAGTATATAAAGAGCGATAGTGGAATGTTTTGATTGAGTCTAAACATTGTCTTTGAATAAAGCTGAAACCATGTAATTAATGTGTCTTTTTAATAAGGGACAATACGGTCGTTCAAGCTATTTAATTTCATTTAATTTTCCATCCCATTTGCTCCAAAGGCTGCTTTTACTTTTAACACCCGGCCTTTCATGCTGCATCTTGCTCCAGTGGGCACATTAGATCGGTTTCACCCTTCCTTTTTAGGGAAGGAAAAATAAAAGAAAATGTGGTTCCTTTCCTCTTTTGTGGACAATTTATTTCACTTGGGGAACTTCAACTTTGAGCCACAGGACAGAATAAAAATTGGAGAACTGGTGTGAATGCTTCCAGAGCAAGGGCTTTTCTTTTCTGAGTGGATGGGAACCAGCCACAATCGGCTATATTAATAAATAACTTTCCTCACAGTCGGCCTTTACATGGTCCTATTGATAAAATTGTTCGCGTGTCGTTCACGCTTTTTGACTCATTAAGGCTGGGAGGGAGCGGCTCCCGAGGCGGAGCAGTAGGGTACCTTGGTCGCCTTAAAGGCCCTCTCTCTACCTCTGCGGCTCGCGGAATTTCAAGCCGGTCTCATCCTCGAGTGGCCAGGCCAGAGGTTACAGGGACATGTTCATGGCTTAAATTTATTGCTCTCAACTTCTTGTTTATCCTTTTTCCCCCATTCATGCCGCTGATCAAAGGGGTCATCTTCAGTTCCCTACATCCTCTCCCCCCTCCTCTTCCCAGCGCTGCCGGAGTGAGAACGACCCCATCCCTGCAGCCGGGACAGTCCCTGGCGTTGCACCCCGGAGAGAGGCGATCGATGGTCGCTGATGCTGCAGGGGGAAGGCGCGGGGTGGGGCNGCACAGCCGGGCACACGGCTCCGGGCTCAGCCCATGCCCGAGCGAAGGAGCGAGCAGGAGGCGGCCAAGGGCTCTCGCCCCGTCCATCAGGCTCTTCAGGGGGCTGCGGATGAGACCCCTCCTTTCCCCCCCGGGCAGCCGCGGCTCACGCGTTCCGCTCTGATTTTTAATGCACTTTAATTGTTTTTAAACGCTCTGCCAGCCCACTCAAATTTATTTCTCATCTGGCTCCCTTGGTTTCTCGCTTTAGACTGCTTTGTTCCGATGACTTTTATTGCACGGTCATTCAGGGAATGGGCACTTCATTTTCTCTTTGTATGGGCAAGCAGATTATGAAGTATGGGGCTACAGGGACTTTGTAGCCAAGCAGAATCTTCCCCCCTTTCCCCCTCCCCATCTCCCGACAAGTCCTGCATGTCGCAATGGTTTTGCACGGACTTAGATACAAAAAGAAAATTAAAATCGTACCTGGGTATTTAATATAGCTTTAAGCGAAATGTAACAGCTGCAACTGGACAAGGTGCGTTTGGATCAATGCTACCCAAGGGGAAAATCCCGTTTTCCCTCTCCGGGCACGGGTTCTTCCATCCTTATGCTGCAGAGCTGCAACCCCCGCTAGGGCAGCAGCATCTCTCCCAAGGCACCTGCGAGCCGGGGCACGTCCTACCCAAAGAGGGGTGAGGATGGAAGCGTTAAACAGGCGGCAAAAGGAGATGCTCTTGCCGCTGCTTTCAGCTGCGATGCTCAGCCCCCTGCCTGGTGCGGGGAAGCAGCTCGACGGGCCAGGCAGAGCGGGCAGGCAGGCAGGGGGACGGATAAGCTTTTTGCTCTTTTTGTGTTTCGTATCACGTGAAAATGACAGCAGTGCCGCCTGTTTTCCAGGTGCGGATGGTCAGAGGGGAATTAGTGGATGAAGCCGGGAGCTCGGCTCTGGAATGGATAGGGTTAATCCGAGCTGCCCGAAACTCCCAAGAACAGACACTGGAGGCTGTTGCGGATCTGCCAGGAGGACAGGTACCCCACTCGCGGCTCCGGGCTGGCATGGCACCTCTCTCCGCCACCTGCCTCCCCTCTCAAGCCTCCTGAAGAAGTTTCCTTTCTTCCCTCTCCAGATTTTCTACCGGGCGCTGCGAGATGTCCAGCCGGGAGAGGAGCTCACCGTCTGGTACTCCAACCCTCTGGCGCAGTGGTTTGACATCCCCGTCACGGCCACGCCGACGCACGACGAGAAAGGTACAGATGCGGGCACTTATTTCAGAGCAACCAAATTAAATGAAACAAAACAAACCCTCTTTAGCTGACACCTTTGACGAGATCCCAAATTGCGGTAGGCAAACGTGGGCCTTCGGAAAAATAAATGCCAGTACAGCTGCCGTGAATTTAACCCACCACCATTTAAACTAAGGCTCCATCTGCTTACATTTAAAGGGTGATCTATTAACTCGGTAGCGTATGGAAAGGCCCCCGTGCGTCGAGTTGTTCCGTCATCGGGCCGATTTAATGATTCTTTGATAGGCAAATGGGGTTTCTGTGTAACATCGCTATAGTTGGTATGCGAGGCAGCAAATTGGCTCAGCTCAGCTCACCCGATGCTGTTCCTAAAACATCGGGTTTACCTTCCATTCTCAGAGTTTCAGAGACTCTTTGGGGGTTCTCTTGCGGGTAGATTCACATAGTAAAGTCAAGACTGGGCAGTGCTGGGCAGTCCCTGTAAATTAGAACACATTAGGAAAAAGGTTAAGTCGGCCTCAAATCACCCTGAGATCAGGATATGCAAAGATGTTGGGAAGCGGAAGACACCGGTCTGGGATGGCTTGCTTCAATCCGCAAACCTATTCTTAGCTGGAATTACACCGGTGTTAACAAAATGATAAGGTGGCATCGCATTAAAAAAAAAAAAAAAAAAGACCAGGGAAAGAAAGACGGAACACTTCAGCGTTCACTTGTCGGGTTTCTCTGTCGGCGGCCACCCCCTTCCGCTGCTCCCTGCCCGGGCGCTNTCATGGCGGTTCCCGCGTCCTTGGGTCTCCCTGCGGTCAAATTTGGGTCTGGAGGGTGGTGAGAAAAGTTCAGGTCGCAGGGTTGGTGCGGATCTGGTGCCAGCCAGCCTGGGCACGATACCCGCTGGATTTTGTGTTCTTAGCATCTCTAGGTCCACCTACCATTGCTTCTGGCTGGCTGCCATTTGAAGCTAGGGAAAACACCCAAAGCCCCACAGGTTTTATCTTCTGAAATTGTAATTATTGATAGCTTCAGTAAAGCTGGTATGCCCTCTCCATTTTTATAATAAAGGATAAAATAATTAACGACATTTGCATGAAAAAATGTGGAAAGTGTAGGCAAAAAGAATGGTGCTAAGACTGAAGAAGGATTAACTCCTTTAAAATATTATTCATTGAGATGCTTGTCAAGGGCCATAGACATTAAATGACAAGATTTCTCTATTTTATTTTCTATGGGAGGATTCAGGTTTTTTGAATCAATTTGAACAGGGAATAATGAAGGGTGCATTTTGTGAGAGAAGAATGGAACATTATTTGCTGGTTGGAAGTCAAGAGCCAAGAAGAATAAATAAATAAATTGAGATGGCTTTTGGAAATTACCAGAAACTAGTCTAGGCATTTTGCAGACTGGTCTTTCAGTTTCCAAAGATTCACACTTGACCTCAGGTATTATTGCAAAAGCAATTGATTCAGTATCATCCTATTTTTAAAATTTGGAAAGCAGTTTCGATGATTATTGTCTTGCCCTGTATTAGCTTCTTCTTAGAATCACCCTCAAGAAATCTGGATGCATCTGGCAGGGGGTGCAAAGAATTGCCAAGAAGAAGATTGTAAGGATCTTGAAGATAATTTTGGTTTTCAAGCAAACTTGGCACAAAGCTCTGCCATGTATCTTACTAGTTAATGCTGTAATTACTGTTTTATCCATTTTCTGAGGACGCACATGGGAGATGAATGGTGCCCTGAATGACCAAGATGTAGGGGAGGGTCTCACAGACCAGGGATCTAGGTCTTACTCTTCTGAACTTGCTAAATGGGTTTGAACACAGCCTTGAGTTTACAGCTTTAAACAACCCCTAAAATTATCTGATTTTGCAAAGGTTTTAAACACCTGCCCTCCCCAGTGAAGTTAGTGGGACTGATTTAAAATCTGCCAGGCTCTTTGACATGCAAGTGAGATAGATGTAGTCTGCAGTAATGGAAGTGAGTTTAGATTTTGAACTGGTTGACAGTAAAAAACTTAGGGAGTTCTTGATCACTTTAAACAAGGAAATGGCTCTATACATTTAGAGGAATATAGTTTCAAAAATTTTTGTTTTGAACTCGTATTTTAAATCCATACACATGATTTAATCAGAAAGCTCAGCTTAGGTATGAAAACATCTGTGTTCTTAAGGGTCCCTTTCTACAGCTGCATCTCTGGTGTTGCAAATAAAGGATCTATTGATCCAGAAAAGCCTATGAGTTTGTTTGGGTACATTCATGCTGAAGATATTTCTAGGGAATAAATTTTTTCACTAGAAGTTATGTGCTTGGAAGTACATTTTGAAATGGCCACTGTGTTTTTAAGCTGTACTTTCAGTATAGAAAAGAATCCCCACACCTGCATCCTAGGAAGTGAGCAGCAAGGCTTGGATTTATATTTCTTATGTGCCAGGGAGACGTGAGGATGGAAGAAAAGCTAACTGCACTTGGCTTCAGGTCAGGGAATGGTGCAGATCAAGAATTCTGTCTGAAAAGAGCAATTCTGCACTTGACTGTGAGCAGTTACTTTCTGAATTTTCACCTGAAGGTAAAGTTCAGCATGTCAAGGTCATGTTCAACTCACTGCAGTTCATTGGACCATAACAGATAAAATCTACAAGCAACAAAAATGCTTTCAGGTATATTCAAAGTCAATCCAATGAGAAAAGATTCCCTACAGCATGTGTAACGCTATAAACTTGTATTTTACAAGACTCAGGAGAAAGTTTCTTAACAACTGAAAAAATCTGTAGCTGAGGAAACAGGTTGCTAGATCTGAGGTCTATATTAATCTATGTTTAGAGCTGAAATGTTATGGAAAACTATGAGCAAAATTCATAAAATTCTACATTTTTATGTAGAAAATTCTACATTTTAATGTAGATTTGCATATGTGTGTGGCTTTTTGATGTTTAAGTTTTGGTTTTTTAATCTGTTCTGTTTGGAATGCATTATCCTGTTTCAAGGGTAATGAAAGGGCTTATATTTATATTCTTTTTTAGAAATTGTAGACTGCTTGCTTCCAATGAGAGTGATTTAGTAGCAGGTGATTTGAAGTCCTGATCTGAAATGGAGTGTCATTTAAAAAGACAACATCAGTTAGGTGAGGTTCAGAGTGCTAAGGAAACATTCATCACTGTTCTGCTGTTTGCGTCAGTTCAGTTTCATTGCTGATGCCTAAGCAGCTGCAATGAGAAAACTTAGGAAGAATGGGAAGAGGTGAAGTCTTTGTACTCCTTTGTAGTTTTTAAAACCTGCGGGTGAGTCAGAGCAGCAGAGGCTTGTATTTTAGCTTTGGAGCATATAACTGGTTCTTGCAGCATGAACAATGTTTTTTTGCTCTATTCAGAAAATTGGAGGACTAAAAATATGTTTCAGCTCTCAGTCCTGTTTTTCTGTGCACTGTTTTTTCTTGCACTTACCTGTTTTTCAGTAGTCTAAGCTATGCAGTAGCTCACCAAAACAAAAAACCAAAAAAGCAGACAGTGTACTTTTTTAGCATACTTCTTGAAAAATCAAAGAGGCTGAATACTCTGGGGTTTTCAGAGGTGCTCCACCAAAGATCCTGCTAGCAGCAGCATGGGGCTAAAGAGTCCTGTTGGGAATGCACGTTTGCAGCTAAGCAGTAACGCAGAATTGTGTCGGAGTAGCTGCATGGCTGATGGTTGGCCTCCGGTTTGTGCTTGTTATTTCTCCAGAGAGCCCCTCCCTCCTTGTAGAAACAAGCAAAACTGACATTTTTGATGGAAACAAAGAACTATGGGGACCTTCAGCCTCTGGTGTGAGTTGAGGCAGGATTCTGGTTGCAGCTCACAGTGCCTGTGGCTCACAGTGACAGTTGTCTTTGTCAGTGCCCATAAGGAAAGCTGCTTCAGCTTTGCACAGGCCAGAATTCACTGCAACAACAAGCTGAAATTTTGTGGGGTTTTTTTTTTCCCCCTTTCTGTTTATAAAGCAGAAACTTAATTTATCATCACTTTGTTTTGTGTTGCTGACAGGCAGCTAGCTAAGAATTATGCCTTTTGGACAAAGGGAGGAAGCAAATAATTTTTTCACTGCTTTAGTCTAAGAGATCTGAATTGTAAACAAGTTTGTTATATTAAATTACTTCAGTGGTTCTGTAACATTGTATGCTAATATCAAAAAAGGCAGCTTAATTATTGAAGAAATGAATGACAGTTAAATTCCTGAATCAGTTAATTTTAGTTTCATGTGGGGCAACAAAGTTGCTTAACCTTAATTTCCTGAGGTAGCCTTTTTAGGTTGCTATGCTTTGCCATGATCTTCCAAAACATTTAAAAATAGGTAGAGAACCTTAGAATTTCAGAAGGATACATTTTTTTTTTTAATAAAGGAATAAATAGGAAAGAGTTATATGAATGCATAACTTTTGTTCCTGGATGAAATTTGTTGTGAGTAATATCTCATGCTTTTGTTAAAGCTAATGAAAAAACCCCAAACCTGTTTTAAGGGGATATATAAAACAGTTGAAAAATGTAATTATCAAAATAAAACCCTTCACAATGATGCAGACAATTATTTGTCTCAAATATTACATTCAATATTTATCTTAAATGAGAAGAATTTACATTAAAACCATAACCCTTATCTCTGATTATATCTGATTATATCTCTTCCATAAAGGTCTGATTCACCACACTTCAGATGAGACCTTCCTGCTTCTTGCTCTCAGCTTAACGTTTTGGAAATAAGGGAATTTTAATGTGGTGCAGAAACTAATAGCAAATGAGAATCCATAGTTAGAAGGATTTCCTCAAATTATTATTGTAAAATGCTTGTCATATTTAAGGTCAAGTTGCACATTTATGAAACAAGGAATACATTTCACTGATTGAGATGTATCATGCAAGAAAACAAACAGATCCTTTGCTTTTAAAATGCCTTCTTCCTTTCCGCAGCAGATGGTGCTAGATTGTGAATATATGTCAATTTGATTTATTTATAGTCTGAAGAATGTACGGTGAAAGACATGGCATGTACAATGTTCAGATAGACTACACAGCAAACTGATCTTTATAAACTCATTTGTTTTGGCACAGTCTTCTGTGGCGTGCATGCTTTTCCTGATGTCTCCTCTGCACCCTTCCAAGACTTTCAGAATTGCTATTGTGCTTATGAAAGATGTCAAACCTAACGAGCCACTGAGTGACAGAACTACAGTCAGCTCTAAAAGGTACCTTCTAGCTAAAGAATAGGTAGGGTAGAGGTAATAGTAGTTTAGACCAACTTCATTTATCTTTTGTACTAGAGCTTGTAGTGTCAGCAGCATCCCAAAAGCCTGGCAATGTTCCCAATCCAGGTGTGTATGTTAGCACTCCTGGACTCAGTCATACCAGGTACAGCTATGCTGCTGAAAAGACAAACATCTACAGAAGAGTGCATGTTTAGACCTGTGCTTAGACTACCCCCCAACAGGTCTTTGGGCTCCCCTAGAGTGCCTGTCTGCAGCCTGGCATCTAGAGCTGCCAGAGGTGAGAGAGCTGCAGGATGTCAGTGCACACCTCTCAAAGCACAGAATGCCACATGGCTTCTGATGTTATTCTGCCCTGTGCTCTCCTGCCCCCATCCAGCATGAGCCACTGTCAGAGCACAGTCAGCTCCAGTCACATCACCTGT